TGAAAAAATAGGAAGCATTATTCTTCAAATTACTAACAAATAATTTTTAAAATTGCAGGATACCCAGTATACCATTCGATGTATGATGACTTTATATGGATGCAAAAATTTGGTGACCCAATGTTTCAAAGGCATGTTGCAGGTCAGCTCGAAGTTTTCTTTTTTAATAATTCTAGTTTCATCCCCTCGACAGTTTAAATGCCACCTCAATTGATTTCATTGGTATTGAAAACAGTGGCAAGTTTATGGGGTTTGGTAGCTCTTTGGCTAGCGGATGCAGAATTCTTGCCTTTTAATTACCTCTCGTATGCACTGGAGCTACAGGTATGGCAACATTATCTTCCAATACAGATGATTTGCAGGGGTGTTTAGTGACAAAAATAATTGCAATCAACCTTGAATATCAGAGACACATGAAAGACTTGGAAGATGAGCTTCCAGATAAGAACATAAACCTAGCTCCTTTGTTCAAGTCCATTGAGGAGCTCAAGAAAGCAGCGACGAAAATAAACAGCCAGAGAGAGGTATCAATTGTGTCTTAGAAATCATGATCTGTATTTCCATTTCACAACTGTACCAAAACTTAAGTATAATTCTCCAGGAAATAGAACAACACAAAGGTTGGCAATTTATAGGGAAGAACGATCATTTTAAGGTGAGAGAGCTGAATGACAGACTAATGATGGCAGAACGTGCATTTACAGACCAAGATGGACTCCTTGGAAGGTCATGGTATAAGCATCTGGTATGTTCCTGAACATGGATGGCTTTCCTCCTAGACAAAAACTAAATATGTTTTCCCAACCTGGTGATCTCGGTTAGTGATTATTACGAGATGGACTAATTAGTATAGTATTTTTGCAGATTTATGGGCCATCAAAACACGATGATTACGGATCTAAATCCTTCCCTGGTATAGGTGAAGCTATTGAAAAGGCAAAGAGTTTGAAGACCACAGAGTCATGGGAACTTGTACAGCATGAAGTTTGGAGAGTCGCTAGAGCTGTCAGACATGCATCACAAATCATCAATGGTGAACTAACATGACAATTTGAGAACTAAAATACCATGAAGATTTGAAATGATAGTTTGTTGCACTTGTAGACTAGTGTCATTTTGATTATATTTCAATATTGTACAATCCACAATGCTAAGTTTGATCAACATAACACTGGTGCAATTTTGATTACTTTTCAAGTTTTTTGGATAACATAATTCTTTGTCACGAGCTAAATAGAATTTTTGTTTTTTGTTTTTGGGGTCAAGGAATCTATTTGATCTGAAAAAAGGGTAAATATGAAGCCAAATAGAATGTAAAGATCAAGATCATGCACAAAAAAAAACGAAAATAGCAAACTCCATTTATCATAAAACTAGTACACAATGTGATGATCTTCCCATAAGGGCCTTTATCTATTTACATCTCATTCATGAAAATGAAAACTACATCGAGATGAAAATATCACAATCGTCGATCATTGACCATGATAATGATGATCAATCAGACGGTTGGGATCTCTTCTGGGTCTTCAAAGTTAGGATCTTTGGCATCGAGAACCTCCTTCTGGAAGCCCATCTCAGCTGGAGAGTAGCCAAGATCACCGACCCAAGTGAACTTGCCTCCATGGCCTCCCTTCTTGGGTGATCCATTCATGCCTGTCCCTGACTTCCTGTCCTTCCTCACCTCTCCACCTTTTCCATTGGTTTTGTCACCCTTATTCCCATTCCCACTCCCACTGTTCTTCATCTTTCTCTTCTAACTCAAACCTCTAGACTGTGATACTGTAAATGTGTTAAAAGTACCTCACATTAATATATAGGAGAGGGAAGCTGCAAGTTTATTTATTTATTATTTGGGCAATTTATTTAATGTGGCTGCGTGTACTTTACTCATTGGTAGAGGCAGACAATCGGATAAGAACAACCAAATGCCATTTTGGAGCATCTACCAACGAACCTCCCTAACTCAGTTTTTTCCTTAATTGTTTTTTAAAAATAGTATAGCCGCACGGCTGCACTTGTTTGACACGTGGCACATAGGCGCTGGGCGGGTCTTCATATACACAAATATAGTATAGCCGCCCGGCTATATTAGATTCTTTTTGAAATTTTTTAAGAAATAGTATAGGCGTGCGGCTATGCTCGTTTTTCCTAATTGTTTTAAAAAACAGCATAGCTGCCCGGCTTTCCTGTTTTGACACGTGGCCCGCTGGTTAGTCAATTGAGCTAGGGTTCTAGTTCCTCTACATTAATAGTTACTTCTTTTGTTTTCCTATTCTTATTATGATTTGTTTTATTTCCTAATTTGGTTTTTAGTTTTCTTTGTGAATTTAGGTTTTCTTTATTCTAGTATAAATAGGCTATTAAGAAACTCTTGTATGCAGTTTTGTTGATTAATATACTTTCAAACTTCAGTCTATAAAGTTTTTTTTGGAATTCTGCCCTAAAACTCATTTATCTTCGTTTCAAGTTCAAATCTACTACTTTGTCTTCTATTCTCTGTTTGTTGGGTTGTTTGGGTTGCTGGACAACAGCTTATAGCTGCTGCTCTGCATCAGGTATACTACTATACACCTTCTTATAGTAACTAGGGGTGGGCACGGTACGGTACGGTATTGAGTTCATACCGCTACCGATACCGGAAATTAAAACCAGTATGGTATGGTATGAGATTATAGTTTGCCAAAATTGGTACCGTACCAAAACTATTAGTAACCAATAGTATATTGAAAATCTCACCAATGAGGACGGTGATTCTATGGTTGAAACTGATGTAGTTAGGAATGATGATGATGTGCAATGTGGCAATTATAATATGAGTAATGCTATTTGGACACACAACATTGACACACTTAGTGACACCCGCTGATGTGTCAATGTATCATTTGCTCTTCTTTTCTCCTCGTTTTCTGTTTAGCGAATGATACATTGACACATCAGTGGGTGTCAACTAAGTGTGTCAATGTTGTGTGTCCAAATAGCATTACTCTTATAATATCATTCTAGATACTTCGTTTCCTTTGGCGCATATAAATAGCCTATTTATTTCTCAAGTTTAGAAATTAGCAAATTTTATGGTAATCTTTGTAAATAATCAAAATTGTGGTGATAATATTTTCTTATGTTTATGAAATTTTAATTTTTATTTAATAATTAAGGTTGTGGGTGTCCTAAAGGGTTTAGGTGGTATTTAGTTTTTGCTTCCTCACCAAAACAAGAAAGAAAAAACAATAACCAATTTTGGAACTTGAGGTCAAATAAAAACAAAGTGAAGTTGGGCTTTCTAGGTTTGCCGTGCACCCCAAGTCCAAAGTCTAAAGTGAGTCCAAGGCACTTACTTGCCGAGCCCGTTTAACGTGTGGGACCCTTATCTATACTCGATAACATGGCAACATCTCATTGGGCAGGCTCAACGAACAAAGAAACGAATATATAAAAAAGAAAAAAGGAGTTTCGCCCAACTCGGGAAAATTGGACAGCAGAATAACGAATATATAAATAAAGAAAGAAATTCGAGGGAAAACCGAAAAAAGAAAAAAGAAAAAGAGAGAGTAATATGTTAGGATCCCACTTAAACCTGATAGCGCCGATTTCTCCTTCCCTCAGTCGACTCTCTTGCTTCCATCCCTCATCTTCTCTCCCCGCCGCTGGTCAGCTCTCCACTCTCTCTCTCTTTCTCTCTCTCACACTCAATATTCAGATTGGCTGTTTCTTTTGCTTGCTTATACTATGTTTCTTCTAATCTTCTCATAAAATCTTCTCAGATTATCATATTGTTATTCAGTTATTTTGTTTTGTTTGTAGTTATTTAATTTAGTAAATTCATGGCTTTTGTTGTAATTTAATGTAGTCATTGTGAAACTAGACAGACTTGTTGAAGGCAGCATCTAGAAAGCTTATTTTTGCAACAAAGACGCACTCAGTATCGACAAAGACGCACTCAGTATCCACGATGGCAACTGTAAGTTTTGTTCTTTTTCTTTTCAACTCATAAATTTTACATTTTTCAATTTTGAGTTAGCTTTCTTTCGTGTGTGGGTGTGAGTATTCATGGAATGTCTTTATGAAGTGTGTAGCCTATTCTGCTTTGAGTATTCAATGTTTGGGCCAATCGAGTTTTATCTGATTTGTGACTGTTGTTTGGCTCAGGAAGAAGAAAATTTGGGAAATGTAAAGCGACAGTTAGCAAAGCTGTTTGAAGTATCGCTCAGAACAATAGTCCCTGATGAGCCAGAGGTCGAGCCGGTGGTTGTTGCTTGCGCCGGGAAATTTGGGGATTATCAATGGTACATTATAGGCCTTTATTCTTAATTGTAAATATTAGAGTTATTTTACATCTGTAATGGAATCTATCATTTTTGTTTCTGTCACTGGAAAGACATTTCAGTCTTTAATTCATGCCTTGTGTGGATTTCTTTTTGGAATATTACATGAGGAAGTCTGTCTTTGGTGCAGTAACAATGCCATGGGTCTATGGTCTAAAATAAAAGGAAAGGGTACTGATTTTAAGGGCCCTCCATCTGTTGGACAGGTATTGATGTTCACCTTTCCTGTTCTTCTCTATATTGAACTTGGTTTATTTAATTTTGATAATGTCTTAGATGGTTATGGCTTTTATTTAGGCATTCAGTTGATAGCATTGAATAATGACTGTCGCTTCATTCTTATAGGCCATCATGAAAAATCTCCCTAAATCGGAGATCATAGAATCATGCTCTGTAGCAGGACCTGGATTTGTGAATGTTGTCTTGTCAAAAAAATGGATCGCTAAGGTATTGTTTATATGCGATAAATAATTATTCAATATTACTTATTTGTTCATTTATTAATTTTGTTTTTGGTGTGGACGTAGTATATTACTTACGGAAATAAAGTTTTTACTTTATTGTAATTGTAAATGCAAATAATTGTTGCTGCAGAGCATACAAAAGATGCTTATTGATGGCATTGAGAAATGGGCGCCACAGCTTCAGATCAA